GTGATGATTGTGATGATTGTGAAATAGTGACGACTGTGATGATAGTGACAGTAGCGATGATAGTGATGGTAAAGTTGGAGTTGATTCTAGAAAGTATATCTCAGTAGTGTGAAGTTTGCAAGTGCTTCTCTGAACATTAGTAAGTTCAATGTTCTCAAAGATACCATATCCTATATCTTTGAGGCATTCCAGGGTTAGGTATGTAAATGCTTGGCCACCAGTGATTCCCCTAGCCTCCTACATGTACACAGACATTCTTAGTGTCTGTCATGCAACGTATCCCACTAAGAACGTTTGTGTAGTAGGCTATGATGCCCCAGGATCTGCTAGAGAGTCTATAATGATCATGGAGGATTTAAGACAATGTTATTTAATTTGTTATTATATTTTTTGTTTTAGCACATGTTCACCATGTCATAGAGAGACTGTGTGTCAATAATGAAGATCCTAAAGAAGTATGGTTATCAGCATGTAAGTTTGGGTCAAGATTTAGTAGTAATTCAACAGAGAAAAATGCGAAAAACTAAAGGATAGATCTTGCAAGGCTGTGAAAGCCTATAGCACATGGCATGCTCATGGGGTAATTTTTGGGGGTGGGGTGGCAAGGGCGGATCCAGCCGGAGGACAAGAATGCCATTTAATTCATTCCCATCATGTTTTTAGTGTTTCAGTTTGGCTACACGACAGTGTTTGGTGCTTATTCTGCCTTCCTTTTTGTCAGAACAGGTGAGTTAAAAATAACTACAAGTAAAATATATTATAAATACTCCCATCTCTATGATAATAGTCTAGACCATTTTTTCCTTACAATACCGCTCTGTTCCTCGATTACAAAAACATTTACTAGGGTTAGCCTCGTGTCAGTGTCTAAATATTCACAATTACCAACGGTAAAGTAAAGAATGCACAACTTCAACAGTACAAACACTTTGAAATTCTACGGACCTTCACTGGAACACGTGAATAAGTAATTAATTAACTGGAATAGACGAATATTCTGCACAAAGTCAAGACTACCTCTAAGCAACAGAAAACTCGAAACTTGACAATTAATTAGCTTGCTTTTTATTTCAGGCCATCTGATAGGCCCTGTGGTATGCCACAGTTTCTGTAATTTCATGGGATTCCCACAGGTTGAGGAAGTACCGAATTCGAAATATCCAAAAAGTAAGACCACCACGCATTGTTTTACAAAGAGTACCTCAGATAATGCACAGAGACTTGTTTCTAATATAGCCCTCAATTCCTTATCAAATTAACCATAGAGGCTTTGCACCATCACATGCCGGYGTCAATAATACAGCTTGGGCTGCCTGTGGCTAGATGACAGAACAATGAAATCCCTTTGCTCTCGGGAATTGAATTCTTTCTCATGTTAACCAATTGTATTGTTCCTGCCATCTAACATGGCTGCCGTTACGTGATGGTGCAAAGCCTCTATTTGGAAGTTGATTTTTGTGGAGGGAAGAAAACCAATGAATCTGGAGAAAAACCCTCGAAGCAAAGGAGAGAACCAATGAACAACTCTTCTCACATGCGACACCGAGCCCGGCAGGAATCGGTCACAGTCGACGCATTAGCAGAGTACAACACCCGTGCTACTTTCATACAAAATTGCTTATTGCTGGTCGATCAAATAAGGTTGTCGTTTGTGATGGAAGGTCATTTTATATCAAGAAGGTGGTCAGTTATTAGAGGTCATTCCTCAAAACTATTGTTAGTTATGAACGGTCGCGTAAGAGAGGTGGTCACTTACGAGAGCTTTTCTGATAAAAAAAACTCTCCTGCGGAAGGCAGTTGTTTGCATTTTTCCTGTTTATAAAATGCTTTTTTCTCTCTAATCATTTACCTCGTTTATTTTAGTCATCGCAGGTTCATTTGTCGTTGGCCTTGTAGTCTTCCTGCTATTGGCGTTACCGCTGACCGAACCTTCCTTGTATGGCTCCATCTACTACTTATAGGGATCCTAGATTAGGTCAGCGTCCATGTTGACCAGTGCAACACTGTTAGTGGTCTGCGCGGACAGTGTTACGGTACTTACCATCAGCAAGTACACGGTATGCCGTGCAGTAACATTGAAAGGGCTTCTCATAAGAATGGTTTGAACTCATACGATAACCATTCTTATGGGAAGCCCTTTCAATGTAACGGCTTGTCGTACCGTGTGACCAGTGTCGCACTGTGAGTTTCCAAACAAGAAGAAAAGTGCTCTATGGAGTATTTATGCCAAAAATATTTTGAATTCTACGAGTGCAAAGATACACTATTGTAGTAGGACTAATTATAACGAATTGTAACTTTATTGGAAACGGAATTTAAAAAGAAAAACATTGAAAGTTTGCATTGAAAATGCATAGGATTGGAAATGATTTAAACGAAATTTTATTGACTTATATTTAGTTAAATCGATTGATTTACATAAAGTCAAAATATAGTTTTAATAAAGTAAAATATACTTATTCTAGGAGTGGATATTTTTTAGTACACTTACCTTCGCGCACGTTGTGTTACTCCATACCTTTAAGGGGGGGAGGGGAGGGGGGGCACCACACATTTAATTCTTGTTTTACGCAAAGCAGAAGTCTACACTTAGTTATGAACTTCGGACGCAAAGCTATTTCCGCGCTATCTTTGCTTCGTTATCACATTATATATCTGTTTATCTATATTTGATTGAAAACATCTGTGATTTGCGTCTTCCGATTGATAGATCTGACCCCGTAATTACTGGGAACAGACCTAGATTTTCTATAGCATGCGTTGTTCGGCGGTCAGCGGTCGTTACGCGAAGACCGCCAACCAGACTAGAGTACTAGAAAATTCGCCTTGACCGACTCGCCCCGTTTTGTTTTCAATTAAAATCTTAAAATTCTTGCACATAGAACAGTAGGAAGTAGCGAAAAGAACTGCAGGAGTTTGACGACCAATGTAGTAAATGGAACGAATGTGTGAAGTTAAAATACTTCGCATAGCGCAAGGCTAGAACTGCAGGAGTTTGACGACCAATGTCGGGTTTGAAGAAATGATAT